AACAGTTTACTCAGCGCTTTACAATATAACGGGAGACAATACAGCAACAATACAGTTCAATACAAGAGGGATAGGAGGACCCTGCTCCTTGGAGCTTACAATCTAAGATATGATTGTCTTTATCTACACAGTTATTGAAACACAAGTGTAAGCCATTACTGGATCAATGTATGACTGCCAGCGTCCACATATGTTGGTATGCTATGATGCAACCTCTTGTTCTAAAGTATACATACAGGAATGTAAAAGTATAACATACTCCTATGGTGGGCCCGCCAAGTTCGTAGTTTAAACCTCCTTTGTGGAACTCCCCTCTGGCAGGTATTATCTATCACGAAAAAAAGAAAATAGTGCTGCGCTGCTCACTTTTCTGGCACTTTTTGTTTACATGCAACAATCAGGTTTTTTCGCTAGAAAATACTTAGAAGCACCAAACATTATATATTTTAAAACAGATGCCCTAGAGAAAAAAAATTGTGGGTTTTGCTATTTTATTATGTCACATAGTATTTGTACAGCTGTATTTCAAACACAATTTTTTGAGAAAAAATACACTTTTTTGAATTTTAATGCAAAAAACACAATACATAACCCAATTTTTATGTAAAATATAAAAGATGATGTTACGCCGAGTAAATAGTTACCAATCATTCTGATATAACCAACTGTGATCAATAAGCGCAATCACACGCCCCACCTAAAACCAAAATACTATGAAATACCTCTTTGTTGCTTGATGAAGACAAAAACAGTGGATTTCACTTCATTATCTAAATATATTCACAAATTACTAATGCAACGCAACTCTCTAAATTAATAACTGTTAGAAAACATAAATACTCCTGTAAAAAACATATACAAGTGATAAACTAAAGAGTCCATAAAGACCGAAACATAGTGCTCTCCGTAGAACACTTTATTGTAGTGTTGTACAGAGAGCACTATGTTTCGGTCTGTTGCATGAGATCAATTTTGGCCTACTGTCAGTGTGAGTGGAAGGCGAGAAGAGATAAGAAGATATGTCACTTCGACTGAGGAGTTGAGCACACCCAGATGAGCCCATATTTTCTTTTCTTTTCTTGAGGTGAGCAGGTTTTTACCTGGTGTAGTGGAGGATCAGTGAATATTACGAAAGAAGATATTCACGGAAGTGATACACGTCACTGAGGGGATTGTTTGTGGACTTTTTAGTTTACCACTTGTATATGATTTTCACAGGAGTATTTATGTTTTCTAACAATTATTAATTTAGAGAGCTGCACTGCACTAGTAATTTTGGACATTTTAACTCTGCCCCTTGAAGACGTCAAGTGACGAAACGCGTTTTTTGGGCCTGGCCTAGTGGATGTGACGTTGGAACGTTCCTCCCAGCTGTCGGCTGTTTGATCGCAGTGCAGGAGGTTCGTCCCTTGGTTTTTCCCTTGTAGATGTGGCATTTTAGAGGCTGTCATTGCTGGTGTCGGCTAGACACCTTCTTTGTGAGTGCAATACTTTATTAATAAAATTTTACTGGTTTTAAACGTACTGCACCATCATATCTCTTCTTATTCCTCGAGCTCTGCCCATGTTATTGGAAGATCATTTGCTGCTTAGCTGTTCCATATATGCTGCCTAGCTGTTCCATATGTGCTGATTGGATTACTATTGGTTGCGGTTCCTCTACTGGGATATCCTGCAAATCATTGCTCCCAGAGCAAAATGCTATCATGCTGGTTTATAATATAATCAGCATATAGCTCTGGTGAGTGTATTCATTTCATCTGGTGTCGGATTTGCACAAGGGTGTTTGTTTTCAAAATTGACATTAAGTTGATATTGGACTATCACTGTTATGGTGGCTGGACTTATGTTTATATTTATGAATTCATTTATTTTTATTATTTATCCTTGCATGTTTTGTGAATAATTAGCGCACTTTTTATTTGTACACTATTTTACCTTTTTTGGTTAGAAGTGCTTCTTATTTGATTAATTTTGCATTTTCTGTGGCGCTTCTTATATCTGCTACTAGTAATTTTGGAGTTACCAAACATGTCATGCTTTAAAATTGCGCACACCTGTGCAAGGGCAACAAAAATTATGTAACATTTACTATCCATAGGTGATGTTTTAAAAGCCTTTACAGGTTACAACTTTAGATTTACAGAGGAGGTCTGGTGCTAGAATTACTGCCCATGATCACGGTGATACCTCACATGTGTGGGACTGGTGCCTGCATTTGCATTTGTGTGCAAGCACAGGGGGATGGGGGCTCCCGTTAAAGCGGTAGAAGGGGAAGTCCCCTCTTGCTGCTTGTAATTGCAATCGTGCGACTAGTTAGCCGCTCTGATTGCTATTACAAGAAAGCCAATCGTCAGCACTAAATAAGGTACTGCGATGATGCCTGCAGCTGAAGTTCCAGTTCAACCACTTGAAGACCAGTGACGTACCAGGTAAGTGACTGAATTTATCCACTGGCTGACTATTCTCATTGAAATACATTCATTTTCCTTGCATATATGTTTGTACTAGGGATGTACCGAAATTTCGGTGGCCGAAAACACCCCTTTCGGCTGTTGGCCGAAATGAAAAAAAGCACCAATACAGGTGCTGAAAACCCCCCCACCGCTCAGTAGTAGTTCTCAGCCTTACCGGAAAAACCACCAAACGAACCCGGCGCTGGGCATAGAGATGAGTGAAGGAAAGATGGCCTCCACTCGTCTCTATGCCCTTGGAGGACCGAAGCGATGTCACTTCCTGTTCTGGCCATTTTTTTAAAGCCTATCAATGCTTTACATTGCAGAGGAGAGATGTGGGGTCTAATTGACCTGATATCTCTCCATAAAGAGGCCATGCCCACATTTGTAAATGGTGTTCAAACCACAAACGTGAGGTATCGCCATGAACGTCAGAGAAAAAGCAATAATTCTTGCACTAGATCTCCTCTGTAACTTTACACTGCTAACCTGTAGAAAAGTATCACCCATTGAGATTTTTAAGTACCCCAGTTTCACGCCATTCCACAAGCGTGACATATTGGGTATCTATTTACTCGCCCTAACATCCTCTTTCATATTTTACAAAAAAAATTGGGGTATATATTGTTTTTTTTAATCAAAGTGTATTTTTTACCAAAAAACATTCATTTTTTAAAAACTGCGCATTTTGGTTTTCAGCATTTTGAATTTTCATTTTCGGTACCAGAATTTTCTTTTCAATGCAACCACGATCAGCAGATTTCGGCTGCCATGCAGGACTCCTGCAGACTGGTCAGTGTACCTGTCTGCTCGTGCCTCATATGGGCGGACAGATAGACACTGACAGGAAGAGACAATGAACTGCCATAGCGCTCAAAAGCGCTGGGGTAGTTCACCGAGACCTACAATCTGACAGCTGCAAAGGCTGTCAGTACTTGTAGTTTTCCATTCACAGAACTCTCTGAATGAATGACGCAGCAAAGCGGGCAGAGCTTTTTAAAAAAACGGATGGGGCAGCGGCTCCCGGAGTGGGAACGAGTTACATGTTCCACCCTGAAAAAGGGTGGCACGTGTATCATGTTCCCAAAGGTGAACTTATCCTTTAAAAATGCGCTCAACTGCACATGGTGTAAACAAGCCCTTAATCTGCATGTTTTCTCTGGGTCAGTGACTCAAAGTATGGAAGCAAGTGGGTGAAGCATTACAGCAAGACAGGTAGAATTTTCAAAAGGGAATGTCAACAATGTTAACCTCCATGTTCCTCATGACAGTTTTCCTTTAAGGTCATATCTGAAAATGTCTCACATTGCTATGACACACAAAGAAATATTATTTCTGGCAAACAATAGACAGAGAATGGTATTCATAATAATCAGGTTTGTAAAATGATCCTAAATACGGAAGTACATTGTGAAATGCACACAAATACAAACATAATAACAACTTTAGCAATTTTGGTAAGCTATTGCCTGTTCCTTTCTTTTCCTGTACAAACAACATACAGATAAATCTAAAATCATTCCATGTACATAACATGATGGTCACCAGTTTTTGTTTTTTTTTTTTCTTTTAAAGGAAACCTTTAATGCAGGGGTGGGCAACTGTGTGGCCCTCCAGCTGTTGTAGAACTACACGTCCCATGAGGCATTGCAAAACTGACAGTTACAAGCATGGCTCCCAAAGGCAGAGGCATGATGGGACTTGTAGTTCACCAACAGCTGGAGGGCCACAGTTGCCCACCCCTGCTTTAATGCATTAATACATGGGTTGCCATTACTGCCACCTTCTGGAAGTGTCACGTGCTTTGCTGTCATGCACAAAGCTGCTGAAGTTTTAGAAAAACACTTTTACAGCCCCCCCCCCCCCCCGAAAAAAAAAACAGTTTAAAGGAGACTTTGATTGAATACTCAGCTTCAATCTGAAGCTCTCCCCGGCAGTACTTCTTTTCAGGCACATGATGTCCTCAGTCGGGCAGCGCCAATCAACCCACTTCCTCTGAGTCCAGGCTGTCATGGACCTGCCCCCTGGGGGCGGCATCATCACATTTGCTGTATGGGCTCAGAGTACTGCAGCAGAGAACGCTGTTCAAATGTCATCTTCTGAGTGACCCTCTGTGCTATGGTAAGGATCACCCACCAGCACTACCAGAGGAGGAAATTGAAATTGGTCACCAGGTCAAAAAGATTATGAATCTCCCCAGTGGGGACAGCAGCAAGGTGACACAAACTAAGATGTAATTTCATACAAGGAAACAAGGAGCATTCAAAGCAAACAAAGAATTATCTGATTGGCAGATGCATATACAAAAATCACATGCAAGAGTGATTTTCAGAGAAATTGGTATAATTATGACATCAGGCTTTGCCCCATGGCTTGCCTCTTGCTTTATGATCAAAGCCAGCTTCATGCAATTCCTGTGTGAAGGGATTCAGATGATCTCTGCTCATATAGGAAGGCTTCTGCCCAAGCATCATCCAGGACTAGCTGTCACCCCACAGCCTGAGTTTTAATGCTGAACATCTCCATATACTCAAGCACCTTTAATTATTTCCCCTTCCCCAGGAAGAGTGTGGTTTTCAGTACTTTGGGGACATATCTGATAGTCAGTGACACTCGTGTCCTTCTGGCCAGTGTCTCGTCACTTTGTGCCACACACTTGTCCAGATTGGCCACTCTGTGGCTGAGCGTATCATGGGTACAGGGATGAATTCCATGAAGGTAATTTTTATACAAGTCCTCACGAAGAACAAAAAGACTTCTGGGCTCCAGCAAGAAGGACAGAACATATCTCTGTTCTTCTGTTTTAGAAACCTGGAAGACAAAAGAGACCTAAAGATATTCAAGCATAGCAATCGGTTCATAGGTTACTAGTTCCTGAGTGTCAATAATACAAGTAAACTAGAAAATTAAGGTCTTTTCGTAAAATGGCAGTGGTTAAGGAGTCTAAAAACATTCCAGACTTGCTTACAGCAACCAATTAGCTTTCACCTTTTTTTAAAATAGTGCGGGATACAACATGATATAAAGAAACCTAGTGGTTGCTAACAGTAATCTTTTTAATTTATTACACGTCTTATATAATCCCAACAATTCATGTAGCACTTAAACATACAGTACAGTCACATCCAGAGGCGGACTGACAACTCATGGGGCCCCCGGGCAATAAGGGATCATGGGGCCCCTGTGTCCTTGCCCAAACTCAAAAAAGCCTATGAAAAAGGTACCAGGGGCATATCATGGGGCCCCCTACAGACCCCGGGCCCTCGGGCAGTGCCCGAGTTTCCAAATGGTCAGTCTGCCCCTGGTCACATCAATCCCCGCCATCAAGGAGATTACAGTCTAAAGTCCCTATTTCACATACTGTACAAACACTAGGGCCAATCTATGCAGAAGCCAGTTAACCTGGCAGCATGCCCTTGAAGTGTCGGAGGAAACCAGAGTACCCGGAGGAAACCCTCACAGGCACAGGCGGAACATGCAGATGGTGTCCTGGCTGTGATACAAACCAAGTATCCTAGTGCTACGTTTTGTATCCTTGTGGTCTCTGTTTTCTTTGATTACCATTTCTGTTATTCTGTTTATTATGGGATCTGCGTATCCACGGTGTTCTATTTATGTGTAATCCTGCTGTTGCAGTAATGTCATTGTGAATTCTGTAAGTACTGCTCCATTTTCTCTATTATCTTGACAATAAATTGTTTGGATTAAAAAAAAGTATCCTAGTGCTGCAGTGCAAATATGCTAACCATTCAGCCACTTTGCTGTCACTTTAATGGTGGCCACACCAGCTGTATACACTTACCCTCATTTCGTTCTCTCACTGTTTATTCAGGTGTAAAGAGCGAGATAGACCTTTGTAAAGGTCCGTATACTAAGGCCTCTCTCCATGCCTACATGTGATAGCGTTTCCAGGTGGGAAGGAGGGGTCACACCATCCCCATACCTGGAAGTACTGGGAATTTTCCTTTGCTTTCTGTAGCTGAACAAAGTGGCGGGGAAGGGAAAGGAAATATAAGCAGGAGTGTAATTTAAAACACCAACAACAGTATTTTATAAATATGTGGACAAAGTGGGGAAGTGTTTATTTTTCTGTCTGTGTATTCACTGGGGAGATTTTCCTCCAACTTAAAGTGGAACTTTAGGGCTCGTTCACACTTGACTAATTTCTAACTCTTGCCAAACGCCCCTATAGCATTTGACAGGTGTTTGGGAAGCGTTTTAACGCTCTTCAAACGCTCCCCAAACACTCTATGAACGTTTTTGAGGCGTCTGATATGCGTTTGCCAAGTGTTAAAATTGCATCACAAACGCCTATAATGAAGTTTAATTATTATTATTACTACTACGAGTTTATATAGCGCCAAAGGGTTTGCTCAGCGCTGTACAATAGGGGGGGACAATACATGGCACAGTACAACAAAGACAGACAGCGTACGAGGGGTAAGAGGGCCCTACTCTTACGAGCTTACAATCTAGGAGGGAGGGGGTAAAGGTACAGTAGGAAGTGGCTGGGGGGGATGAAGTGGTAGGAGGAATGAGGGAGGATGGCCGTTAGGTGAGGGTGGGGTAGGCTTCCCGATTGGGGCAGTGAGTTCCAGAGGATGGGGGGAGGACCTGGAGAAGTCCTGCAGTCGTGCATGGGAGGAGGAGACCAGGGAGCAGGATAGAAGGAGGTCCTGTGAGGAGCGAAGGGTACGGGTAGGGTGGTACCTGGTGATCAGATTGGTGAGGTAGTCAGGGGCAGTGTTGTGAACGGCTTTGTAGGTCAGGGTAAGGAGTTTTAAATTTGATGCGTTGGGCAATCGGGAGCCAGTGGAGGGAGAGGCAGAGGGGGGTGGCAGAGGTGGAGCGGGTGGTAAGGTGGATGAGTCTGGCAGCTGAGTTCAGGATGGTCTGGAGCGGGGAGAGCCTGCACTTGGGTAGGCCAGTGAGGAGGGAGTTGCAGTAGTCAAGGCGTGAGATGATGAGGGAGTGTACTAGAAGTTTGGTGGTGTCTGGGGTGAGGAAGGAGCGGATCTTGGCAATGTTGCGAAGATGGAGCCTGCATGTGTTTGTGAGTGATTTGACATGCGGTTGGAGGGGGGGAGAGTTTCGCGTCAAGAATGACGCCAAGGACTTTGGCTTGCGGGGCGGAAGTGATAGTGGAGTTGTTGGTGATGATGGATAGGATGGGGGGGGGGTGTGGGCAGGGGAAAGACGAGAAGCTCGGTTTTGGAGAGGTTAATCTTGAGGAAATGTAGCGACATCCAGTCTGAGATGTCATTTAGGAGGTGAGTGATGCGGGCGGAGATAGTGGGGGTGAGGTGAGGGGTGGAGAGGTAGATTTGGGTGTCGTCAGCATAGAGGTGATAGTTGAAGCCGTGAGATTGTATGAGTTTGCCCAGGGAGGAGGTGTAGATGGAGAAGAGAAGGGGTCCAAGGACAGAGCCTTGGGGGACCCCAACAGAGAGGGGGAGGGAGGGGGAGGTGGCACCATTGTAGGTGACACTGAAGGAGCGTCAGGATAGGTAGGATGAGAACCAAGAGAGAGCAGCATCTCCGATGCCAAGGGAGAGTAGTTTATTAAGAAGGAGGGGGTGGTCAACTGTGTCGAAGGCCGCAGAGAGGTCCAGGAGAAGGAGGACAGAGTAGTCGCCCTTGGCTTTGGCGTTGAGTAGGTCGTTAGTGATTTTGAGGAGGGCGGTTTCAGTGGAGTGTAGGGGACGGAAGCCGGACTGTAGAGGGTCAAGGAGGTTATTGTCAGTAAGGTGGGAGCTTAGGCGATCGTAGACTAAGCGTTCAAGGAGCTTGGAGGTGAGTGGCAGCAGGGAGATGGGTCTGAGGTTGTTGGGGTCCGCGGGATCCAGGGAGGGCTTTTTGAGGATGGGGGTGATATGCGCGTGCTTTAGGGGGAGGGGAATACGCCAGTAGAGAGGGAGAGATTGAAGATGTGGGTGAGGGAGCGGTTATGAGGGGAAGAGGGGGGTGACCGGAGGAGTTGAGAGGGGATAGGGTCCAGGGGCAGGTAGTGAGGCGGGCTTTTGAGAGGACTTTGGCGACTTCCTCAGTAGTGACAGGGCTGAGGGAGTGCAGTGCGGGGGGGTTATGGTGGGCGGGGCAGTGGGAGAGGGGGGGGCAGTGCGTTGTGAGGGCAGAGGGAGGGGGGAGATGAAGGGGTGACGGGGGCGAGGAGGGCTAGGTGGGGGGTAGATTGCAAGTTGACGATGTCCTTACGGATAGCGTCAATCTTGTTGTGGAAATGGGTGGCAATTTCGTGGGCGGTGAGAGAGGTACTGAGTGGAGGGGGGGGGGGGGGGAGAGCAGGGAGTTGAAGGTGGAGAAGAGTCGGCGGGGGCAGGAGGAGAGGGTGTTTATTAGGTTAACAAAGTAGGCCTGCTTGGCGGCGTGAAGGAGGAGGTGTAGATAAGAAATGCAGGTTGGTAGATGGTTTTGAAGGGTCTCTCCAGTGCGGACTGCGACGTTTGAGGGGTTTAGTGCTGTCGGTTCTGGGGGTGCCAGGGTTGAAGCGGTCTGGGTTTGATGATGCGTGTGGTAAGGGGTGCCAGAGAGTCTAGGGCAGCTGACAGTGAGTCATTGTACAAGGTGGTGGCTATGTCAGGACATGACAGTGGAGAGGATGCTGTCGTGTAGGCAGTCGGCGGGGGCAGAGTGGAGGGGGGCCGGGTTCAGGTTGCGGAGGTTGCGGCTGGTGATGGTTTGGCGTTTTGGGGGGGAGTTGGGGGAAGGGGAGATGGAGAGGGGGGTAGGTTTTGATGAGGTGGGGGTCGGAGAGAGGGAAGGGGGGTGTTCGCGAACTGGTTGAGGGTACAGAGGTGGGAAAAGACGAGGTCCATGGGGTTGTTGGGGGTGGGGGGAGGATTGAGTGTGCTGTGTGAGCGGAAAGGGAGGTTAGGTGGAGGAATTGGGAAGTAGCCGGGGTGTTGTCGTTGATGGGGGATGTTGAAGTCCCCGAGGATGATGGTGGGGAGCTCAGAGGAGAGGAAGAAGGGAAGCCAGGCGGCGAAGTCATCCAGGAAGCGGGCTATGGGTCCGGGAGGCCTGTAGATCACTGCGATCCTTAGGGGGGTGGGTGAGAAGAGTCGGATGCAGTGCGCCTCAAAGGAGGGGAAGGAAAGAGGGGGGTTTAGGGAGGTAGGGAGGACCTGGAAGGTGCTAAGCGGTGACAGGAGCAAGCCCGACACCACCACCTCTGCGATCGCTCAGTCTTGAATGGGTCCAGATGAGACCTCCATGAGTGAGTGCCGCAGGGGAGGTGGAGTCGGTGGCCTGTACCCAAGTTTCGGTGATTGCTAGGAGGTTGAGGGAGCGAGAGATGAAGAGGTCATGGATGGCGGTAAGCTTATTGCAAAACGAACGAGCATTCAGGAGTGCAACCGAGAGAGGGGGGATAGATATGGGGAGGAGGGGTACATGTATGAGGTTGAGGGGGTCGCGTCGGGCTGGCGTGAGCAGGGGGGGCTCGTAGGGGGGGTGTGAGGTGGTGAGGGGCCAGGTTTGGGGAGATGTCCCCAGCTGATATGAGAAGGAGGAGGGGGTGAGGAAGGTGGCGTGGGAACGGGAGGTGTAGGAGCGCTTGGGTCTGAAAGTGGTGGCAAGTGGGTCAGCGGGGAAGTGGAGTAGCAGGAGGAGGTGGTGGGTGCCGTAGTGGGGAGAGGGGAGAAGTGAGGGGGCGATATAGAGCTGCTTAGCGGGGGTGGGTGGGTAGAGGAAGGCGGTTTTAGGGATGGAGGGAGAGGAGGACAAGGAGGAGGAGCGTGCGGGCGGCATGTTGGGGTGAGCGGGGTGCAGGAAGGGTTCAGGGTGGGTGAGGGGGTGCTGGTCAGGGATGGCGAAGCAGTGTCCGAAACGCAGTGGGAGGTGGCTGGTAGTCCCAGGTGGGGTGGAGGGCAGGGGATCCCTGGTGGGATGGTGGCCGTGCTATCCCTGGTGGGTTAGTAGCGATCCCTGGAGGGATAGTGGTTAGGGGTCCCTGGTGGTTAGGGTTTCTGGTGGGTGTGGTGGGGATCCCTGGTGGCTGGCGGTGGATGGTGGTTGGGCTCCCTGATGGGTAGTGGGTGCCCCTGGTGGAGTACCTGATGTCCTGGAGCGTCGGGGTGGAGGTGGATCCCTCCTATGTTAGGAGGACCGTTGGTGCTGGTGGTGGTAGCTTCCCCGGAGGAGCGGAGGCGTCCCGCTGCGATTCCAGCCACGGCCGGCAGGGAAACACCGCGGCTTCGGGTTGCCGTGGTAGGCCTCAAGCCGCTTCGGACCGCCGGAGCTCCGCTGGAGGGACGGAGTGTCTGTGTCCCCTTCAGGGTGTTGGTGGGGACATCGGCAGCAGGCTCAGGGGCCCGGATGGCAGCGGATCGGGCGCGGGGGCGCCGGAGCTGACGAGCACGTGGCTGCTCCGGGCGAGCTGGTATACCCCGGTGGTCGGGATGGACCCAGGGCCAGTGAGGGGGGCCCTGGGGAGGCTGGCTGATCGGCCGGGGACCGGGGAACAGAGCAGCGGCGGCCTGGGCTGATGCCGGCGATCCGGGTCGGCCGCGCCAAAAATCGAGGCCGCGGCTTCGGGTGCCGGGTAGGCCGCAAGTCCCGGAGGTCCGGGGAAAAGGTGCAGTGGCCTTACCTGGCTGATGAGCAGGGACCGAAGGATCGTGGGGCCCCCGTTAGGGTCCGCTGCTGCCCAGATGGCAGCGGATTGGGGCCAGGGGGAGCAGGAGCTCGCCGACGCACGTCCTTTCTCGCCGGACGTCCGGATAATAGCTAATGGTATTTACGCTCCGCATTAACACTGCCTCGCAAACGCCCTGCAAAACGCCTGCCAGGTGTTTGAGGAGCATCACCATAGACTTGAATGGGAAGCTTCAACTCCTCCTACCTCGACATGAGGGTGTCAATTTTGCCACAACGCTAACACTTCAGTGTGAACAGCACTGTGTGCTGCCATGTGTAGAATTTTCATAGGCATTTGAGCTTTAAAAACGATTCCCAAACGCCTGTCTAATGCCTGCTAACAAAGCTAGTGTGAACTTAGCCTTAGTCAGAAACTTAAGTCCTGATAGATGATTTCAAGCTGGCCCCTTTTGAAGATATAGCTATGAAAAAACATTAGAAATAAGTGCCTATACTGTTTAAAATGCAGTAATACACTGTCTCACTCTGCTCTGCACAAGCTCAGTTGCTCTCAATTTATTGGCATTGTGTTGAAAATCAGAGCCACTTGAGGCTGATCAGCTGACAGATTTAAGATTTACTGTTGCTGAAGGGGGAAGAAAGCAACAGGAATTACACATGTGCTGAGGGAGGGAACACAGATTGGGGGGGGGGGATAAAAAAAAGAAAGATGACAGGACAAACTCTGCTGCCAGAAAAAAAAAATACAAAGGATAGTGTCTTATCTTAGTTCCCTGATATTCTCTCCTTTCTCCCTCCTCAGTAGTCTGTGAAGCTTCTGTCAGCTTTCCTCTCTATCTGAGCCAAGACATGCAACCAAGGCTGAAAATATACATATTTTAATCACAGAAAGTGACATATGGTTTTTGAGGGCTTTAATAAAATGGCGGTCTCCAGCAAGAAGAAAACAGGAGCAATGTAGGAGGCAATTTACAGCACACACTGATTTTGGTAGCATAATTATTAATGTGGAATGTATGTTTATTTGTTAAAGAACATTGTTATCAAACTGTTGTGGGTAAAGTTCCACTTTAACTGACAGAATGTCACAAAGACAGGAAATATCGGGAAAGCTCTCCAGTAAAGACACAGGCTTAATGTTGTAAGTACAGCAATTGAAACAAAAACTTTTTTTACCGCTTAATCCACTTTAATTTTTTAGGACTAAAAAACACAAACTCCAATGTAAATGGATATATGAAAAGAACATCTTGGACAACGCATTCATTATATGAGCCAGGGTAACTACCTGAATGAATAAATCTTTTTCAACCCTTACCTGGTCTTCCTCTTCAGGACGTCCTCTATCCGGAGGCAGATAGAAGTCCAGAACAGTGTGAGACCCTAAGCTGATGGTTGTGACTGTGGGATAGTAAAGGGGACCATCCTCGTGAGGCTGAAAGACAAATATTGTATTGTAACTGTATAGAACAGAGGAGGTTATGATGTTATCAAGAGTACGTACTCACTACATGTTAAAGCACACGCAATCTGTATGTTATCAAGAGTATGTACTCACTACATGTTAAAGCACACGCAATCTGTATGTTATCAAGAGTACGTACTCACTACATGTTAAAGCAAACGCAATCTGTATGTTATCAAGAGTACGTACTCACTACATGTTAAAGCACACGCAATCTGTATGTTATCAAGAGTATGTACTCACTACATGTTAAAGCAAACGCAATCTGTATGTTATCAAGAGTATGTACTCACTACATGTTAAAGCACACGCAATCTGTATGTTATCAAGAGTACGTACTCACTACATGTTAAAGCACATGCAATCTGTATGTTATCAAGAGTATGTACTCACTACATGTTAAAGCACACGCAATCTGTAATGGTTTATTGGCTTTAATAGATTACCTAGGCATTAGAAGAGCAGCCTGGAAAATCAGCTCTACTCCTGGGTCGAGTGACCTGAAGCTAACATATTAAGGCAAGTGAACCACAGGGATGTGCATGGTGGGTGGCAACATCACCAGAGCCATCTTTCCCTTCCAATGTTGACTTTGTTGATGGTTCACCCCTCCCCAAGTTGCTGTTGCCTGTTACACAAATGAAGTTTTTTTTTCGGTTCAACTTAGCGGACTGAAAAAAAAAAATGAAAAAACTGGGAGATTGCTGTACAAAACAAGCGATGTTGGCTGCCCCCCTTCCCATCGCAGCTCTTGGCTTTGTCCCTTCCACAAAAGCCAGTCCTTAGACCGGCTTCTGTCAGAACAGCTGTACACATGGTCCGAATGTTGGTTGTTTCCTGTTGAACTGGCCAATATTTGGATGGTGTGTACCCAGCTTATGGCTCCAGAGGACATGACCAGGACAATCCAGGGTATGTGGCTCAAAGTCACAGGCCTGCTAACCTGCTTCTATTTACAGTAGGACATTTGAATGAGTGTCCTCTGCTGTTGATTGTGTAAAAACAGCTACTTCCCAGCAGTTCCAAGAGCTGCTTATGTTTTCGGGAACACTGCAGCCAGGCATTGGCAACTCATTAAACAAGTTTAAAATAAACCTGTACTTTTTCCATGCTATGCAAATCAGCAGGTTTCTTCTACAAAAGGGACTAAATGTATAATTAAAGGCAAAACCTGTGTTTTGGATAGAGTGGAGAAGGATTTGAACCCCTGTGAGGTTTTTACTGCAATCTGTACTCCCATTAGGGAGACTCACCCTCTTTATTTGTTCGGTTTACCAATACCATCGAAACTGAAAAAAAACATATTTTGGGTTGTCCCAAAACATTAATGGAGGGCAACACAAACACATTTTGCACTTTCCAGATGCACATGGTAAACCTCTTTACTAATATTTTTAACCTGTTGCTGCCCATGTAACACAAGTATGGGGGCAAAAGGGTGGGCTTTAATACCCACAACCAATGTTTCTGTGTTCAGAGTGCGATCACTATCAAAGACAGCCCTCAAACAATCAGTAGCCAATGGGACCGGCTCCCAATCATGTGACCACTCAATCACAGTGGTCACATGATTTCTGATCTCCCCCCCCCAAGCAGAGACACTATTAAAGGGACTCCAGGTTTGGGTGGGAAGGGATTGCAAAATACACTGCAATAATCACTGATGATGTGTAAAGTTCACTAACAAGGAAACAAAACAGAGTTAAGTCTAGTGAACAAACCTACATTACATTATCACTACACTCTCATTCTACATACATTTATAGCACCCTCACCATTATCCCTTCTCCAGGCTTGTATTCATTTACCAAGACGTGATTTGCACAGTTCCCTGCAAACACACCCAGTGAAGAGATTTTGTTGGTGTATGTCTGCAACCAGGGGGGCAACTTCTCGGACACCATGCCTCTGGGATGTGGGAGACCTCCTGCAGGAGAAAAATAATCTTACACAGTGGAATGGACAAGAGCCCTACTGCATAGAAACTGTTATAGAAGGGCCTGGGCTTGCTCAAGCAACCCCACTCATTTAAACCTGATGGCCAACTGGCTCAGGCCTAGAAGATTGCTCAATAACATTAAAAAGCAATGTGCAATAAGCACTGTAAAAAGTGATGTGCCTCCTACATATACTAGAGGCAACCACCATGTGCACAGTCAGGGAACTGACAGCTTGAATCCAACAGGTGCTCACTAACAAAAAGGACAGTATTGTGGCTTAGTAGGTAGTACAGGGACATCACTGGTGCCACAGGTCCTATTATACAGTATAGGCGAATGTCCTGCATGAAGTTTATATGCTAGAATTTGTTTTTTTTGGGTGTCCATCAGACATTCCAATATCTTCTATCCCAGTAAAGACTGCATTTGCAAACCCACGTGTGGACTACACAGGTAGTGTTACAAGTACCCCATGTCTCAACACAGCCTCTTTCAGTTATTCTGCCTTTTGTTTAAATTCTTGCCAGCAACATAACACCCCAAGCGTTATTAATGTATTTCTATTATTATGAGGTATTCACGTCAAGTCGTCACATGCAAGTCTACTAGGTCCAATGTCATGTGAATCTTTTCTTCCCACAATTATTTCAGGAGACATCACCAAAACATGTCCTCTAGAAAAAAAAGGACACAATGTGATCAACTGTGTAAAGATCTAGCTTTGTTATTCACCACTGCAAGTGATATTAGTCAGCATAGCCATTCACTAGCTGTGATATTAAAGCAGTGTAAAACAAAAAAAAAAACAACATATTTATGTACATATTTATATGTGTGTATATATATATATATATATATTTATTTATTTATTTATTAATTATTGTGGCAGTGCGGTATCCTGCCACGATGAAAATCAAGGTTATAACCCAGGATTCTCAAGGTTGAGGGGCTCCAGGAAGTTCTCTTAATGCAGAGGAAACTGGTTTGTCAGTTTCCTCGTTGTTTGTAAAGCCCATTTTGGGACCTGGGGCCTGGAGATTTGAAGTGATTTGGGAGAGATGAAATCTCCAATCCTGGGTCCGTGTTTTCAGAACCCCCAGCACACTAATTGCACAGGTGTGTGCAGGCCTTTTTGTAGAGGCCAACCCATGGTTCTGGGCTCCACCCCGGCGGACAGGAGGTCATTGCCCAGGAGTCAGGAGGGCTCCACCTAGGAGAGGTGGGAGCCAGAGCAGCCAGGGGCTGTACAGTTGCAAGAAAAAAAGTATGTGAACCCCTTGGGATTACGTGGAGTTTTGCATGAATTGGGCATAAAATGTGCTCTGAACGTCATCTAAGTCACAACAATAGAAGAACCCAGTCTGCTGAACATAATACTACACAAACATTAGATGTTGCCATGGTTTAATTGCACATAACATGTAAACATTCACAGTGCACGGAGGAAAAAGTATGTGAGGCCCTAGCTTAATGACTTCTCCCAGAGCTAATTGGAGCCAGGAGTGAGCCAACCTTGACTCCAATCAGTGTGAGAATATTGGATGTGTTGCTGACAGCTGTCCTGCCCTTAAATAACACACACCTCTTTTGGGTTTACTGGTTTCAAGAAGCACTGTCTGATGTGAACGATGCCTCGCAAAAAAGAGCTCTCAGAAGACCTACGATCAAGAATTGTTGACTTGCATGAAGCTGGAAAGAGTTACAAAAGTATCTCCAAAAGCCTTGATGTTCATGTGTTCACAGTAAGACAGACTGTCTACAAATGGAGAAAATTTAGCACTGTTGCTACTCTCCCTAGGCATGGTTGTCCTGTAAAAATGACTGCAAGAGCACAGCACAGAATGCTGCATGAGGTAAAGAAGAATCCCAGAGTGTCAGCTAAAGACCTACAGAAATCTCTGGCACATGGTTTGGGGCTGCTTTGCTGCCTCAGGGCCTGGACGGATTGTTGTCATTGATGGGAAAATGAATTCCAGAGTTTATCAAGACATTTTGCAGGAAAACGTATGACCCAGCTGTCCGCCATCTGAAGCTCCGCAGAGGATGGGTGATGCAACAGGACAATGACCCAAAGCATACAAGTAATTCAACAAAACAATGGCTGCAACAGAACAGAATACGCCTTCTGGAGTGGCCCAGTCAGAGTCCTGACCTCATCCCCATTGAAATGCTGTGGCATGACCTTAAGAGAGCGATTCACACCAGACCTCCCAAGAATATTGCTACACTGAAACAGTTTTGTGAAGAGGAGTGGTCCAAAATGACTCCAGATCGTTGTTCAGGTCTGATCTGCAACTACAGGAAACGTTTGGTTGAGGTTATTGCTGCCAAAGGAGGGTCAACCAGTTATTAAGTCCAAAGGTTCACATACTTTTTCCTACCTACACTGTGAATGTTTACATGTTATGTGCAATTAAACCATGGCAACATCTAATGTTTGTGTAGTATTATGTTCCGCAGACTGTGTTCTTCTATTGTTGTGACTTAGATGACGTTCAGAGCACATTTTATGCCCAATTCATGCAAAACTCCATGTAATCCAAAGGGGTTCACATACTTTTTCTTGCAACTGTATATCTGAGAGAGCCAGGAGGCTGAATATTTGTTTTATTTGGATTGATGGTGGATACCCCTGCGTGGGAAACATATTATGTGAGAACTAGCATCAAGGGTAGAGTCTTTTAAAGCACACAGCCACTCGCTTCCTTCTTTTTAGCCCAATTTTATTTTTTGGAAAGTTCCACACAATATGTAGCTTGTCAATCAGCAGCAGAGCACATTTAGTTTGCTTAAAGCAGAACTTCAGTTAGAATCTTTTTTTTTTTTTTTTTTTTTTTTTTTTTTTTACATGCAGTGGGGCTGTGCGTCCACTGCATAGATTGGCTGCTTGAGGTGAGGACAAAGCTCATTCTCACCTGTTCCGCCAATCCTACGGAAAACCGCACTCCCCCATGTTCCAGCAGTGGACTGTTCATGTCTGTGGAGCATGCATTGAGCATGCTGACATCAAGAACAGCCCATTTACAAGACCGTTGGTCTGTGGGAGGGCAGGAGCCAAAAGGACCACTCTTGTGGTGGGAGGATCGATGGGTCAGGTGAGTGTATCTTAAGTGTCCTCTCCCCTAGAACAAAACAAGCATTTGACCCATGCAGTGTGGGCACAGCCCCAATGGACAGACCAAAACTATTTTTTTCCCAGATTTCTGCTTTAAAGCATGGACAGCACTGTCTCTATTACTAAAACTCACCTACTGTGAGCTGCAGTGTCTGGGAGGTGGAGTGTGACGCACAAATAAAGGATTTTTCTTACTTGTGGGAGCTAAAGAAAGTTTTTTTACTTCAGGCCTGTGCATCAGTAGCTAGACAGCAAATGGATTTGTTCAGACTGTCACACAGGAGCCTTCAGACCAGCTTTAAAGAAGTACTGTTATGAAGAGCATGGAGACCAATGCTGACTTCTCTCTCTGAAAATGACAGTTGTTTGGCTATCGTGCTTATCCTCTTGTTTATTATTATTATACAGGATTTATATAGCGCCAACAGTTTGCTCAAAGCTTTACATTACGGTGGGAGACAGTACATGAGACAGTACAGTAACAATACAATTCAATACAAGAGGGGTTCGAGGGCCCTGCTCCTTGGAGCTTACAATCTAGGAGGGAGGGGATAGTGGTACAGGAGGAAATAGCTGTGGGGGATGGAGTGGTTGGAAGAGTAGAGGAGTTCAGTATTAGCTGAGGATGGGGTAGGCTTCCCTGAAGAGATGGGTTTTCAGAGTGCACCTAAAGGTGTGCAGAGTAGGTGATAATCTGATGGATTGGGGTAGGGAGTTCCAGAGGATGGGGGAAGTCCTGGAGACGAGCATGGGAGGAGGAGACAAGGGAGCTAGAGAGTAAGGAGGTCTTGTGAGGAGCGGAGAGTACGGTTTGGGTGATATTTGGAGACAAGATTGGTGATGTAATTTGGGGCAGTATTATGAACTGCTTTATATGTTTACCAAAAACAAGTACGCAAATAAAGGAGTTTGGACATTTTGATGACTTTTCTTGCCATAATACCGGTTTTCAGTCAACACAAAGTACAGCAGTTGGTGGTTCAGCATAACAGCCAGGCAATGAGAATTTTCAGGGGGAGATCAGCAATTGCGGCACCCATATGTCTCGCATGACAAGTTTATTTTAAAGAAAAACCGTACTCTAAAATAAAGGGGCTGAAATCCTTTAAAAATGTTAGTTCCCTCACTATCTCTAGCTTAATTACTTTGAGACACTGGTCTGGAATAGACACATAGATCAGGAATGTCAGGTTAGAGGCAGAACTCCTAATCTGCATACTCCATGACTTCAAAAAGTTTGGTGCTATTGGATCAGCATGAGAGCCAGGCAACCAGTATTTTCAGGAGAAGTCAGCGATGGCAGTCTCTGTCCTTAGTACGGGTTTCCCATGGTGCAGAAAACACAGAAAAGGGGGTTTCTTACTGCCTTTCACAGGCAGACCCTAAGGTATAAAAATGTTATCAAGTTTCTCACAGACACCAGTCAGATTAAAGGATAAATTCACCTTTTGTTCCAACTCTTGCACCTTCTGCCCCCGACCCCTACCAAGTCTCCACCCACACAGCCCTGTCATTCATTCACTGAGTTTTGTGAATGAATGAACTACAAGTCCCATCAGCTGCCACAGCCTTTGACTTGTAGTTCTCAATGGACTGCGAGGGCGTTGGTGAACACTCTCCTAGTTCATTGATTTTTCCTGTCATTCAGTAACCGCCTGCCAGTACGCGAGGTACAGGTACAGACCGCTGACTGAGTGTTTGCAGGATCCTAGCATTGTGCCTGTGATACTGCTGATTGCATGTGCGAGTAAAATAATCTTAAATGCACATTTTTTTTTTTTACGTACAAAAAGATATGCATTTATTATTTTTTATTTTTTTTTTTTTTACAAAAAGTGAACTTAGCCTTTGAATTATTCTTTGGGAGTTTGGACCTGATTGGTGACATCATTTTTACAATTGAGGAGCTGTGTGAAATTTAGCTGCAATAGACTCGATAGAACCTACATACTGATTTCACCAACTGCCCAAAAGTTTTCTGTACTTTATAGACTTTCCATCACCAGTAATGTTATAACACCTATTTATTGAAATTGATATTAAAGATAGAAATTGGAGGAGTACAAATGCTAGGACCTAGCTAGTAATATTGCTCACCCCAATTCTGCAATTTCCTCCCAGACAACTGTGTCCATTTTGGCTTTGGAGCATTGTAGACCTAGAAAGACGAGTAAAGTGAGAAGAAATAGCAGTCAACTTAACCACTTGAGCCCCAGAGGATTTACCCCCCTTAATGATCAGGCCTTTTTTGCTGTTTGGCGCTGCACTAATTCAAATGATAATTGCGCGGTCATGCAATGCTGTACCCAAACAAAATTTACGTCCTTTTTTTCACACAAATAGAGCTTTCTTTTGGTGGTATTTGATCACCTGTGCGCTTTTTATTTTTTGCGCTATAAACAAAAAAACCACAAAAATTTTGAAAAAAAACAATATTTTCTACTTTCAGCTATAAAAAATATATCGTAAACTCAAAGTTAGTCATAAATTTAAGCCAAAATGTATTCTGCTACATGTTTTTGGTAAAAAAAATCCCAATAAGTGTATATTGATTGCTTTGTGTGAAAGTTATAGCGTCTACAAACTATGGTATAGATACTGTAATTTATGCCTTTTTTTGCTATACAGCGCTGCACTAACTCAAATGATAATTGCGCGGTCATGCAATGCTGCACCCAAACGAAAATTACGTCCTTTTTTTCACACAAATAGAGCTTTCTTTTGGTGGTATTTGTTCACCTGTGCGCTTTTTTTTTTTTTTGCGCTATAAACAAAAAAAACACAAAAATTTTGAAAAAAAACAATATTTTCTACTTTCAGCTATAAAAAAATATATCGTAAACTCAAAGTTAGTCATAAATTTAAGCCAAAATGTATTCTGCTACATGTTTTTGGTAAAAAAAATCCCAATAAGTGTATATTGATTGCTTTGTGTGTGAAAGTTATAGCGTCTACAAACTATGGTATAGATACTGTAATTTATGCCTTTCTTTGCTATACAGCGCTGCACTAACTCAAATGATAATTGCGCGGTCATGCAATGCTGCATCCAAACGAAAATTACGTCCTTTTTTTCACACAAATAGAGCTTTCTTTTGGTGGTATTTGTTCACCTGTGCGCTTTTTATTTTTTGCGCTATAAACAAAAAAACCACAAAAATTTTGAAAAAAAAAACAATATTTTCTACTTTCAGCTATAAAAAAATATATATCGTAAACTCAAAGTTAGTCATAAATTTAAGCCAAAATGTATTCTGCTACATGTTTTTGGTAAAAAAAATCCCGTGCATTAGCGGGCAAACTGGCGCTATCTAGGAGGGGCGCTAACACTATCGGAAGTCACCAGTGACACTAATACAGTGATCAGTAAAAATCTGTTCACTGTAATCAATGACACTGGTGACAGGGCAGTGAAGGGGTTAACTGGGGGGGGGAGGGGGGGCGATCAAGGGGTTAAATGGGATTTCTGGTGCACTAGCGGGCAAACTGGCGCTATCTGGGAGGGGCGCTAATACTATCGGAAGTCGCCAGCGACACTGATACAGTGATCAGTAAAAATCGGTTCACTGATCAGTGACACTGGTGACAGGGCAGTGAATGGGTTAACTGGGGGGGGGGGGGGGGGAGATTAAGGGGTTAAATGGGATTACTGGTGTACTAGTGGGCAATCTGGTGCTATCTGGGAGGGGCGCTAACACTATCGGAAGTCGCCAGCGACACTGATACAGTGATCAGTAAAAATTGGTTCACTGATCAGTGACACTGGGTGACAGGGCAGTGAAGGGTTTAACTGGAGGGGGGGGCGGGGGCGATCAAGGGGTTAAACGGGATTACTGGTGTACTGGCGGGCAATCTGGCGCTATCTGGGAGGGGCGCTAACTCTATCGGAAGTCGCCAGCGACACTGATACAGTGATCAGTAAAAATTGGTTCACTGATCAGTGACACTGGGTGACAGGGCAGTGAAGGGGTTAACTGAGGGGGGGGGGGGCGATCAAGGGGTTAAACGGATTACTGGTGTACTGGTGGGCAATCTGGCGCTATCTGGGAGGGGCGCTAACTCTATCGGAAGTCGCCAGCGACACTGATCAGTAAAAATCGCTTCACTGATCAGTGACACTGGTGACAGGGCAGTGAAGGGTTAACTGGAGGGGGGGGGGCGATCAGGGGGTTAAATGTGTCCTAGAGTGTTCTAACTGTAGTGTAGTGCTTGTGTACTCACTTTTTGGATGTCTTCTTCTCTGTCTGGAACGGAATGTGTCCAGACAGAGAAGAATGACATCATATCCTGCCCTGTGTGTATGTCAACACAGGACAGAATAGGACAGGGACCGATCATGTGATTTCAGCCAGAAATCACTGGCTGAAATCTAATGATTGATCCCTCCTGGATCAAATAGTGTCACCCGCGGGTCGGCGGGAGCGCGCGCCCCCTGCCGGCGAAAGTGTCGGGAGCGCGGAACCCGTTTTTAAACGTGGTTTTGCGCTCCACTGCCGCCCTGCACACGTATATACACAGTGGCAGGGCGGCAAGCGGTTAAAGTAAATCTGGAAGTAAAAAAAATGTCCTTAAAATGCATGCTAGCATATATGTTTCCTTTAATAGCAAGCACACACAGGTGCTCACCTAGACCTTTACATGTGTACTAGAGTGCCTTGGTGATGGGGAGGATCAGTTTATGTAAATAATGCCTTCATATGGTAACTGCCCCAGTCTCTGACCACTAAGGCTACCCATCACAGAGATGGCTCAATAGGGAGCTGCAGATGACTGGAGGGGAATGGACAGCACTCAATGTTCGTTTAATAATCGCAAAGAATTTTCCACTTTCATTAAAAGCAAAAAAAATACCCTTCGTTGGCGGTTTTAAGTCAGAGGGAGTTTCACCCCCATCCAGCTTCTGGCATCCCCAACCAGCTATTTTGACTGGACTTTAAGATAAATCTTCTAAGCAGACCTTTCTTTAGAGCACCTCATACCTGACGAAGTAAATACTCCTCTTCAGCTTCTGTTATGAAGTCAGGGATGTAATATGCTGCTCGAGGAGCCTGACAGAAGAAAGGAAAGAGAGACACACTTAAAGTGGTAGTAAACTGAGTAACTGCTAAGTCCACTGACAGGCAGGGTTTTTATAATGGAAGAGACCCTAGGCGTCTCTTCTGTCATAACTGTCCCCCCTGCCAGTCAGCGGGTAATGTGATCTGAGATGCACATAAGTAGCTCAGACCACATTTACAGCTCACCCTGTGTGCTGCAGCAATGCGACTCTCGAGTTCGTGAGCAAAAGTGACATTAACCCAGCCCAGCCATTCAAGTAGCCAAAGATATGAAACCCAGAAGGAAGACCATGTGAATATGGAAGCGCTGGGGAAGCCGTGACAGTGCTGCACTGGTGGGCTCTGTTTGTAGGCAAGTCTGTCATAATGTACTGGTATGCAGTGTATGCTAGAATATTGTGACTTAAACCTGCAGGTGTAATGGCTATTTTGGGCCTATAATCATTTTTACCTTCATGAACATTATTGTGAACTTTTGATAGGGGTCTAAGTATAAGCCAGCCTTGGAATTCTCTGGCTGTCATGTTAAATAACACTACAGGGGAATGTGACAAATAGCTCTGGGGGGGATGCCACTTCAAAAGACTCAATTGAGGTGAGGGGGAAGGAAGGCAGCTGGGACTTCCTGTCTTTTTTTCACAGCTGGTGAACTAAACTGACCAGTGTTCTGAGCCCAACCAATGGAGGTTAATTATATGTAGAAGGATGTGAATGTACCTGGGTGGATGGGTGGGCCTAGGAGTGGTCTTTGCAAAGAGTATATAACACCAAAACAAGACTCTCACCCCCCCCCCTCTCTCTCTCTCTCTCTCTCTCTGGAAGCCCAGTCATCAGGATGTCTGTGTAACGTATTATTCTGTGTATCTTTTCTGTAACTTTCTTTCCTGTAGTTGTCTCTTTGTATTGGTAACATTCTGTATTTACATTGTATTATTACTACTTTTAAAGTTATACCAGCTACATTACATTTTGTTATATTTAATTAACAGCAAGCTTCTTTTCTGTGTAAATAAATTAGATCTTTATTTTTTGCACAGTTGTTATCATTTGGTTTTAACATTTTTGGGAATAGCCACACGAGGATTGGCTAAATTCATGTATAGACAAAAGGTTGTAATCACTTATTACATTTATAATCTTAGATAGAACCAAGGGAATAAGTACGGTAGCAAAACCACCAAAACACAGAGGGGCCCATTATTATTATATTGTAACAAAAACTTTACTACCATGTTACTCAAAGAGCTGATTACCATGCTATCACAGAGAAGGTCTCACAGCACTTTGAAAGATTCTTATTATTATATATCGCCAACAGTTTGCTCAGCGGTTTACAAAATGGAGGTAGACATTATAGTTACAATACAATTTGGTACAAGGGGAAACATAAAATAATCCCAGTGGAGCCTCAAGGCATGTGGGAGAATTAAAAAAAAATATGGGGCCTGTATATGGCCAAATTTTGGCTATCCTTTCTTCAGCTCCAAGCTACAGTCACTCTTGATAATAATGCAGTGATATGGGCAGACAACTAAGTTTTCATTGGCCCATTGGAAAAAAGCTCCTCAATCTACCCATTCATTGGGTAAGTCAACAGCAGGGTCACGGCCTTGAAGATATGCTCACATTCGCCTCATTACACATGCAGGCCATACAATTATTGTGCGCCAGGAACAGATGTGGAAGAGCTAAAGAGTCAAGATGCAGCATAGCACTAAATAATGCTGTTATTGTTTTTTTTTTTTTAATACGTATTTGTAAGAAAAGTCTCTCAGGCACTTTTTATCTCCTGTTTTACAATGTAACTACACCAAAAATTTTTTGTTTCTGGTTCTGCATGAAATTGGGTAAGAAGGATCAAGAATGGATCCCCTTCCAGGTCTTACTGCTGTCAAGGAGAAGATCTCTCCAATGAGACAATCATAAATACTTCAGGACAAGAAGGTGTGGGACAATGGAGTTCTAAGCCTAAGTTTACTCAAGAATAAATAAATAAGCACAAGGCACATTACTTGTGGTATCTTGTGCTGCTGTCTCCTCCTTTATTCTCCTCTGACAATTCCAGTGCAGTGGAGGTTAATGGAGTGCAGAGGGAGCTGTAACAGGCACTCCTCAACACTTTCCATCTATGCCCTTCCTTTCTGTCCAGCTCTTCTATTCACAGAAGCTGCCCTATCTCTTCTATGAATGAAACAGGATCTATGAATGGAGGGAGTGGACCTTTCATTTATCTGCCTGTCCTCCATTCACAGATCATCTTTCATTCATAGAAGCTGTAGTACAGCTTCTATGAATGGAGGAGCTGGGTGGAAGGGCAGGCATAGATGGGCACTCTTGATGAGTGCCTGTCACAGTTCTGTTGGCTTCAATAACCCCACACCTGAAGATTACGGAAGCAGGGGTGGGGGGTACCAGAACAGGAATATTTCTACTTCTTGATTTTTTATTTTTTTGCGTAAATTTAAGCTTTAAAACAGACAGGGGTCTTAGTCAGGTGTTAAACGGTGTAGAGGGAATGATTCTATCAGGAGCTGTGTAGGGACTAAGTCTGCAAAGAGGAAAATGTCAAAAGAAGAACATGTAAAATCCAAATGTAACTTGATTCAGTTTATATAAAAATACAACACCCTTTATTTAGAGTTTGATACTGTTAAACACACCTTATACTAGGCTGAAAAAATTGGAGTTATACTGAGAAGGTAATTAAGCTTCTGGAGTGATCATACCACTTACCCCTCAGGAATCTTCCAAATATATGTCCACTACATGTTTTGATCAACAGTACCAAGCCCTTATGAAAGGGCCCCTTAGAATACCCAATAGGCTTTGTATTTTTATAAGAGTTTGAATAAAACTGAAGTGCATCTAAACTCAAGAATACAAATTTAATATATTATATATTACCAGTCATTAGATGTAAAGGCTGCAATAGTTTTATTTTTTTAAGGCTGAGTAAATATTCGGCAAGTAGAGAAAAATAGCAGTTCAATACAGAAATTTAGTGTCCAAACTAAAATCTCAGACTATGTTTTTAGCTTTCCCAGTTCTCTTATGTGGACTAGACAACAGTTTCCCCTAATGCAGGGCTTGAAAAAGCCGCTCGCCAAATGTGAGGAGAAATTCCTCTGTGGCGAGCAGCGATGAAGCATGGAGCGACTGCACCCGCGCTCCAAGCCTCATTGGGAAGCCGAGTTCCGGTTTACAACTTCCGGTTTCCAGCTTCTTCGGCTCCGCTGAGAGGAGACACCCTCTCCACTGCTGCGGGGCACTCGGAGGGACTAGGAGAAAGTACTGTATACAACATGTCATATCACTATAATGGAGTACAGGGGAGCTGGGATATACATTACTGTATACACATGTACATGTCATATCACTATAATGGAGTACAGGGGAGGGGGGGATATACATTACTGTATACATGTCATATCACTATAACGGAGTACAGGGGAGGGGGGATATACATTACTGTATACATGTCATATCACTATAATGGAGTACAGGGGAGGGGGGATATACATTACTGTATACATGTCATATCACTATAATGGAGTACAGGGGAGGGGGGATATACATTACTGTATACACGTCATATCACTATAATGGAGTACAGGGGAGGGGGGATATACATTACTGTATACACGTCATATCACTATAATGGAGTACAGGGGAGGGGGGATATACATTACTGTATACATGTCATATCACTATAATGGAGTACAGGGGAGGGGGGATATACATTACTGTATACACGTCATATCACTATAATGGAGTACAGGGGAGGGGGGATATACATTACTGTATACACGTCATATCACTATAATGGAGTACAGGGGGGAGGGGGATATACATTACTGTATACACGTCATATTTCATTATCACTATAATGGAGTACAGGGGAGGGGATATACATTACTGTATACATGTCATATCACTATAATGGAGTACAGGGGAGCTGGGATATACATTACTGTGTACATGTCATATCACTATAATGGAGTACAGGAGGAGGGGATATACATTACTGTATACATGTCATATCACTATAATGGAGTACAGGGGAGGGGGGGGATATACATTACTGTATACATGTCTATAATATCACTATAATGGATGGTACAGGGGAGGGGGATATACATTACTGTATACATGTCATATCACTATAATGGAGTACAGGGGAGCTGGGATATACATTACTGTATACATGTCATATCACTATAATGGAGTACAGGGGAGGGGGATATACATTACTGTATACATGTCATATCACTATAATGGAGTACAGGGGGGAGGGGATATACATTACTGTATACATGTCATATCACTATACATGGAGTACAGGGGAGCTGGGATATACTGTATACATGTCATATCACTATAATGGAGTACAGGGGAGCTGGGATATACATGTATACTGTATACATGTCATATCACTATAATAGTACAGGGGAGGGGGATATACATTACTGTATACATGTCATATCACTATAATGGAGTACAGGGGAGGGGGGATATACATTACTGTATACATGTCATATCACTATAATGGAGTACAGGGGAGCTGGGATATACATTACTGGGATATACACTATTACAGGGGAGGGGGGTATACACACGTCATATCACTATAATGGAGTACAGGGGAGCTGAGATATACATTACTGTGTACAGTTTTATATTTTGGACTCTTTATTCTAAAGAAAAATGTAATTTCATAAGCTTTAAGGGGGCGTAGTTGGGGCCGGGCCGGGGGTGGGGTTTGGGGCGGACCTGGGCAAGGTTGGGTGGGGCAACTGGTGGAGAGTAAGTTTTGTGATCGGCTAGTAGGTCTGGACTCGAAATTTTAACCCCTGCCCTAATGTAATGGAGAAGAGGGAAAGGAGAGGTTTTTTATAGTCCTAACACCCGTCCTGTCCCGTCCCACACTGCTCCTCCCTAGATACAGTACAGTGAGCATGGTCACCCTGTAATGCCTGTTAAATGTTTTGGCCTTGGACCCTCTGTTTCTTGGGGAATTTTTACAATAACGCATCGTTGCTCATATGCCAGAAGCACGAGAAATACATTGATGTAATTTCTCAAGGCTAAAGGAACAGAGTCACAAGACATTAGACTGCTTAAAGCAGATAAGAAGTGTTTGTGAGATTGAACTTGTCTAGAAATGTTACATAAGACTGCTTAAATTAGATAAGAAATTGTTTACTTGTTTGAGAAGTTAGAAATCCTTAAATTAAGAGTAGATAAGGAGTTGTTTGTGTAGAAAGAGATGTTTCATTAGGATTGGGGGTACCAGATAAGAAGTTGTTTGTCCGGTAAACTGACTGGGTATGACTCTTACTTCAGGGGACCTTTCTGCTACCTCCTACTGAGGTGGGTGTGGCGCCCGCCCATTTCGGGAAAGTTGCCAGAAGAGCTTAATGGGGTATATAAAGAGAAGCTTGGACATGGTCAGACCAGAAGCCCTCCCATGAGAAAGGGGACGCTCTGACTCCTGCCAAGGCTACATGCGCTCATCGGTCAATCGTGCTTCAAGGCTTCTCCACGATTCCCTGTGCATTATGGTTCTGATAGGGTCTCTTACTTCCCATCTTCCCATAGTTTTGGTAATGTATTAATTCTATGCTGTGACGCTGTCAAAAGATGTGCTTATTTCATGCTGTAATGCTCACATTACTATTGGTGTGTGTTGTTATGCAGATTGTGATGGCTATAAGATATATCCTCCTGTGTGTTGTGTGATAATAAAAGTGGAGATTTTGACAGTGCAAGAATATTGCAGTTGGATTCTGTTATTTCTTGTGGTGCTGAGTGGATGCTGTATGATGTGCCAGGGCAGCTGTACACTTGGTAGCGGGTCTCTCACATGCTTAGAATAATGGTGTAAGTGCTAGTTAATTGTACCTGTGTTGTGACTTGCTCTTGTATCTGTGTGGTGTATGTGACTTGCTCTTGGGGTTTGTATCCAGCCTTGCATTACACACCCTAATACAGGAAGTTTGATATTTGCAGGATTACCTTATCAAGGGAAAAGCCTGAAAAAAAAAGTAATGCAGTCATCGCAGCTATAGCCCAGCAAGCTGCACTATATTACATTTTTGTTTTTGCATTTGGATATGCTTTAAAATCTGGACTCCACGCATTTTTCTTTTTGCACTTTCCTCCATGCTGACCCAGTGCCCATTCAAATAATAAATACTTATCACTATACCGAACCATGCCCACAATGTAACAAACTTCCAAACTATTGGCACACGATAAATTTAGGTGTACCTGGTTTATGAGTTGAGTCTCCAGACTGGCTGCTGTGAGAGTAGATTGCATTTTCTCCTAAAAAGAGTTCAGATTATGGAAAAGAATAGAATTGAGATTTCCAAGCTAAAAGTCAAAATTAACAATTTACAACCTGTCTAAAGCTCGCAACACACGTTACAATCCGAACATGCAATCTACTTTAGATCTACCAAAAGCTATGCAGTGCAGGTGCCTGCCTGATTGGATATATAAGCTCATATTACATAGTTTTGGTAAATTTAAAGTTGATTGTTCAAAGAATGTATGGTGGCATTGTAACAAGTATGGTGACTATTAGGCTCACCACTTGTTACAATCAAAAAATAAATTGATCAAAATATCAAACTATGTAAGGCCCCTTTCACACGATCGGTCTGCTCGGGTCTTCCTGTCTGTTTTTCAGGTGGACCCGATTGGACCCTCCACTCTCCTCTATAGAGCGGCGGATGCAAACGGACTTGTGTCGCTTACCTCCAATCCAATCTAATAAAAACAAACAGAAGGGGATCTGTCCTCCTCCATCTGGGAGGATCAGACCCACCTACATTCCGTAGAGCAGAGTGGGCTGTGTTCATGTCCGTTCTGCATAGGCAAAGTGGACACAGACTTGCCTGCTCTGCTCCATAGGGGATCAGCAGACAGACCCTCTGCTGAGCAATCAGATTCTGCTCTGTGTGAAGGGGGCCCAATTATCACCTAGGTGAAAAATGGGGAAGATCAAATGGACTTCGCCAGTGGAAAAAAAAATGTCCAACTGTAAGAAAGAGAGGGGAGGAGGAAAGGCAACATGACATATTTTAGGGTTAAGGCCCACTTTAAAGTATTGAAGCAAGAGAGAGTGAGATGACAGTAACATTTCTGGAAGGAGACAAAATCATTGGCAGTCTACATGAATGATTTAGGTTTAACCACTTGGCCTCCAGAGGATTCACTCCCCTTCCTGACCAGGCCTCTTTTGCGATATGGCGCTGCGTTACTTTAACAATTGTGCGGTCATGCAATGCTGCACATAAATTAAATTTATGTCCATTTTTCCCCACAAATGGAGCTTTCTTCTGGTGGTATAAAAGATAATCCAGTGCAACTTAGGGTGTGGTTGCCATTATCCCTATTTACATAATAGAGAGAATAGTATCTTACATTTTTTGTGGGACTTTTAAGGCAACCTTGGAATATATACAAAACAATCAAATCTTTAAAAAAGATTGACATTTTATTGAACACATTAATACAAATCAAATGAACAACACATATTGCACCAATACAATATAATGATTCTTATCAACATATTTGCTTTACAACGTTTGTAGTTATTGCAGTAGATGACTATTGATATCCTCTAAAGCTGATTTCGATCTTGCAGCCTCAATTTTTATACTACAAGGACATTCAGCCTAAATCCAATGCATTTTGATTACTTTAATACAGATTCTTCCTCAGGGAAAGGATACCACTCTAAAACAGTATAATTAATCCTTCATACATATGTTCTATGTACATACCACCAACAGGGTGGATTTGATTTAAATCAAACTGATTTAAATCACGATTTAAATCACTAGTCAGTAAGGCTTGATTTAAATCCTAGTTTTCTACATAAAGACTAATTCTTGCTGGTATAACTTTAATATGCAAGTAGATGAAGATTTTTAGAATAACAACTTTTCATATTAGTTTTTTTATCCCCAGTTTAATAGGTTAATCATTCATATTTGGACAACTTTTCTGCTGTACTTAGGAAGGAGAAAAATAATCATTACCTTAATAATAATTTAAATAGATTTATTCAACTGAAATAATAACATTACAGCATATGTTATTTGCCTTAAACAAACATCCATGTTTGTTAACTAATTTGGCTAAACAAAATATATATATTTTAAGAAACTTAGACTGTCAGCCCCTTCCTCCTCACACTTAGTTTCACTTTCTTCTTGTGCAGATCTATTCCACTCCAAACAATCAGAAAAATATTGTTTCTATTCTGTTCACTGAACTTCTTGAAACTTAGCACTGAAGGGGTTGATTCTGTATTCATAGGTTTGTAGAAGTTAGGATTAAGGTCTTTTTCTTAACTCTGTTCATGTTATAACATTTTTGCTGTGAAGAAGAGGCATGTGATCTCCGCTGAGTCAAATTCAGTTTTTAGAACTGCAAAGTAAACCAAACATCTGTGATAATAACTTGTAGGCAGAGAAACTGCCCAATAATCTTACAAAAACCTCTGGAAGAGCATGACATTGTGAATGGATTCATGGAATTTATTTACCAAAAAAATTAAACATATACAGCCTTATTCTACATAATTAAAAAACGAATCTTTATTTCATGATGGAATAACCTTTGGATGGTAATATATTTTCCTCAAAAAGCATTTTATTTAAAAAAATCTGATTTAAATCAAAAAAATCAGATTTAAATTTAAAAAATCCGATTTTTTTGATTTTTTAAAAAAAATCATTGATTTTTATCCACCCTGACCACCAATATCGATCAAAAAAGATGCTTTGCTGTGTTTGAGGAATAAGTGTCCCCCATGGGATGAGGTCATCGTTTGACATACAGGAACCACAAGTGCCACATCACAGATACTGTTATAACAAAACGTATATCAATTAATATAATATTATATATATTGATGTCTTGAAAATATGACAAGGCATCAAGCGTATCTTAGAGGATTCATGTGCTTATAATAATCACCTTTATCCAATATTAGTGGGGACAGAGGATTCATAAATCCTCATAGTGTATATCTTATAAACACATGTATGAAGGATTAATTATTGATAATTACTGTTTTAGAGTGGTATCCTTTCCCTGAGGAAAAATCTGTATTAAAGTATTCGAAATGCATTGGATTTAGGCTGAATGTACTTGTAGTATAAAAATTGAGGCTGCAAGATCGAAATCAGCTTTAGAGGATATCAATAGTCATCTATTGCAATAACTACAAATGTTGTGAAGCAAATATGTTGACAAGAATCATTAAATTGTATTAGTGCAATATGTGTAGTTCATTCGATTTGTATTAATGTGTTAAATAAAATTTCAATCTTTTAAAGAATTGATTGTTTTGTATATATTCAAAGGTTGCCTTAAAAGTCCCACAAAAATGTAAGATACTATTCTCTCTTTCAGTGGAATTTAATCGCCTCTGCGTTTTTTAATGTTTTGTGCTATAAACAAAAAAAAGACCAACAATTAAAAAAAAAAAAAACACAATATTTTTTACTTTTTTCTATAAAATATATCCAGTAATAAAATTTTAAAAATCAAATTTCTTCATACATTTAGGCCAAAATGTATTCTGCTACATATCTTTGCTAAAAAAAATTCCCAATACATGTACATTAATTGATTTTCATGAAAGTTATAGTGTTTACAAATGGCGGTATACATATTGGAATTTTTTTTTACTAGTAATGGCGGCGATCAGCGACTTATAGAGGGACTGCGGTGGGCATTCTGACACTGTGGGGAACGGACTTGGTGTCACTGACATCCCCAGTGACACCAATACAGTGATCAGTGCTAATAAAAAGCACCGACACTGTACTAATGACACTGGGCAGGAAGGGGTTAACATCTGGGACGATCAAAGAATTAACTGTGTGCTGTTGTACATTATGTGCTGTTTTACTTGGGAGATATATTGCTTTGTATTTCTCTGCTATGCAGAGAAATACAAAGCAGCATGTCCTTGCTGGCAGGAGAGAGACCGGTGTTGTTTACACACAGGTCTCTTCCCTGTCAGCGTTCCCCGATGATCGCTGGGTGCTGGCGGGGAATCTCCGGCCGGGACCTGGTAATTGACATCCGTTGCCGCCAATGGTGGCACGGGTAGTGCGGCGTGCACATGTGCGTGCGCCTCCTACCCAGACATAAAAATCACATATATATATATATGTGATTTAGTGCAGCCCTGCAGCAGTAGTTCTACTATAGAGTGGCGGGACAGCGGTTAATGAGACCTGTCAAGTGAAAAACAGGCAGGTTCGACATTGCTGCCACTCCAATCTAAAATGCTAGTTACCGGTCTGTCATGCTGACTCTCCTGGTTCAGTACTTTGAGTCGTTGACACTTGATAAGTATGCTCTGACTTTTCCAACCTGTACACTTAGCCCCAGTTCATATATAGGCAAATTGGATGCGTTTTGAACCGCATCAGATTCGCATGATATGTGAACCAAACCAGCTTTTCATTGAGCCGGTTCACATATGTGCTTTTTAAAAAGCCAGGTACTATTTTCAGGCTGGTTCTGGTGCGATTTCAAGTATAATAAATTTTAAAAATTCTCACCTGAATCGCTGATTAAAACTGCACCAGACTCCTTTAAAAAATTCACATTGAAACCAGCCCCACACATGCAAACCCAGTCTGATTCTGGGTCCGCAAATTGGAAAGTATAAAAGCTACAGTGTGCATAACAGCCAGGAAACCAGCATGTTCGGAGGGAGGTTAGCAAAGGAAGCACTGGGAATCAGTTGGGGTGCTCCCCTGCGACGCCCTGCTGCTGGGTTTTTGAATCACAGCTACCTCGGAGCACAAGACATTCCCGTTGTATCATCTCCTGACTAATCAATTAAAAAGATATATTAATTTGAATTCATAAACACTAGTTATCAAGAAATATTCACTTAAAAGTAATTGAATCCAATGCTGGCCATACACATATGAAATAATCTGATCACTCGATATTGCACTCTCTTGGATGAAAGAATTGAATTGTCCATAAATCACAGTAGAAGTTTTTTTAATCAAATGATCATGTGTACTGAATAGGAATGATTGATTGTTCCTGGCAAATCCAATAGTTGCCATGATAAAGAATTATTTCTGAGCAAAGCATATTGAGAGCAATCATATTTACGTTCTATTGTTCTGATTGCTGGGCATATGGCCAGCATAACATTCCCCCAATAAAGCAGACCTTCACTCCTGATTACCATCATTCGGACTCTACCCCCTCCCTATTATTTGCAAATTTTGGAGGGCAGCAAGTACCTTTTCCAGCAAGTAATCACTCCCACTTA